TTGAGAGATGTACAGGAAACAAAATGGCAGGATTTTACTTATGGTTAAAATCTGTGTGCTAGTTTCAGCATACATAGTTTGACCTGCAAAACCAGCTGTATGCATTACTGAGTCTAAATGGGATTGTTTATACATGCAAGTAAATTAGAACAAAAGTGACTATTAGATATTGTGACAGAAGCTTGTGTTTTCTATGCACATACTTCCTTGCCTACAAGGGACAGGATCTAAAGAGGTTCCTTCTGCAGTAAAGTAACTTGAGGAGGGGTAGTAGGTGGTTTCATGTTTTAGCTGAAGTGAGACATCTACTTCAGTTCTTAGAAGTTTCACCAAAAGGAAAACTTTTTGGGACACCTGAGTGGTTCAGTTGGTTAAGCACCTGAATCTTGATTTTGACTCAGGTCATGGTCTTGTGGTTTGTGAGTTTGAGCCCTGCACATCAGGCTTCGCACTGTCCATGCTTTCAGAGCTTGCTTGGGATTTTCTCTCTACCTCTCTCTTTGTCCCTTCTTCCTACTCTCTCTCTTTCAAAATAAATAAATAGCATTTAAAAAAACTAAAAAGGCATAATTCATATCTGAGTGTCAGGTCCAAAGCAACAGGTAAGCAAGCAAACAAGTTACAACAGTTTCTGCTGTCTGTCACAAAGTAGTCAGTTGAAATATATGTGAATATTGAATAAAATGATGTGATTAATTTCATTCCATTTTTTCCTAATTTTACTAAAAAGTGAAGAATGCTACAGGAATACAACTAATGATTTCAACTTGTATATAGTTATTTAGTTTAAAATATGTGGATGGAATGTTTGAACATAAGATCTGTGTTACTTCAGAAAAATATTTTATAATTTCTAATTGATTTTTTCACTATAATAATGCTAATTAACAATGATTTTATATCTTTATGTGGATAATTGTAAGATCTTATAAAAACTCATTCTTTTAATCTAATAAAATAATTAAATATATTTTCTGAAATATTTTTTATTTCTCACTATACACAAATATTTATAAAAAATTTATTGACTATAAAATATGTAATCAGTATGAAACTTTTAGAAAATAAAAATAAGTGTTAGAAGCAATATTGATGTTTTGGAAGAATCCCTTATATGCATATGTGTTGTATCATGTACACATGTATTTGCAAAATTGTTGTATATCTGATTTTATAACTTCTGCTTAATAGTATTAAAGGAACAATTTTCCATGTCAATATTTAAAACACCCACCACTATAGGGCATATTTCTTTTCAGATAGTTATTATTTTAATAGCATTTAATAATACAACTTTGGGTATATCAATCCTAAAATTGAGATGTTATTTTATTTTTTAAAAATATTTATTTTGAGAAAGAGAGAGAGAGAGAGAGAGCAAGCATGGAAAAGGAGCAGAATGAAAGGGAAAGAGAGAATCTCAAGCAGGCTCCACGCTGCCAGCGCAAAGCCAGACGCAGGGCTAGATCTCACCAACTGTATGATCATGATCTGAGCCAATATTGAGTCAGATGTTCAACTGACTGAGCCACCTAGGTACCCAAATATTATGTAATTTTAAAAATTCTAAAATTTCTGGTGGAAAGTAATTCTTCAGAAATGTGGTGCCAACTTCTTTCCCTACCAAAAGAGTGGTACATCTTCACAAATAGTATTACAAATGAAAAAAAAATAATAAAACACTGGCAAATGGATAAAATTTGTGTCTCATTTTATATGTTATATCTTCACATCACATCACAAATGTGATTTTTAAATACTGTTTTACTGTCTGTGTACAGCAACTTGTTTTCTTTGATTTGAAAGGGTATTTATTGGGGTGCCTGGATGGCTCAGTCGTGAAGTGTCTGACTTCAGCTCAGGTCATGATCTCAGGTTGGTGGGTTCGAGCCCCATGTTGGGCTCTGTGCTGACAGCTAGCTCAGAGCCTGGAGCCTGTTTCAGATTCTGCATCTCCCTCTCTCTCTGACCCTCCCCTGCTCACACTTCTCCCTCTCTCTCTCTCTGTCTCTCTCTCAAATAAATAAAACATTAAAAAAAGAAAAAAAATGAAAGGGTATTTATAACCATGTATACTCAATGAGGCAACACGTTTTTGTATATATTTGCTTTGTATTTTATATACTTTTAACTGCTTTAACATATGTTTATGACAGTTTTTGGCATAGAAGATTTTAATTTTAGTTATTCTACTATAAAATGTACTTACTATCAACATTTTATTTATAATTTTCCATTTTATTTAAAATTTCCCATTAGAGACAAAATAAATATTAACTTATATTTGATTTGGATTATTTAATGTTTTATTTTGTAATTTTATGTAGTTAGTCCTCATAGAAGTTATTCAGGTATAAGGGTATAGAGAAAGAGTTTTCAAAATAACAGAATGCATCAACACAAGTTAGTGACTGTGAAAATCTTTATCAAATCTCTTCTTTTATGTAATTTTATGTAATCTATGTATCTGGACTTTTTATTCTATTCCCTTTTATTTGCATCCCTGTAATACCATATTTTATTATAATTTATTTTAATATATTTCATAAACATACAATACTTTTAGTGCCATTTCTATTCAACATTTCACTGGCTATGCTCTTTGACTTCAAAATCACTTGATCAAGTTCTATATATTATCCCATTTGAATTTGTTTGAAATTGCTTTATACTTTTCAAAAGTAGTGTTTCTTTAGTATTAAGGGCTCACATTTTAAAGAGTTCAAATAAATATGTCATATATCTCCATTTAATTTACTTATGGTATTTTGGTTAATATATTTTCTATAAGATTTTCTAAATGATATGTAAGAAATATGTGCACATACACATAGAAGACATTTTGACTTATAAGTTTAATGGATTTACCTCTATGTTTCAACCTTAAGAATGGCATTGAAGGGGTGCCTGGGTGGCTCAGTCAGTTAAGCACCTGGGTTTTGATTTTGGCTCAGGTCATGATCTCATGGTCGGTGAGATTGCCTTCTGTTGGGCTCTCCACTAACAGCATGGAGCCTGCTGGAGATTCTCTCTCCACTTCTCTGTTTCTTCCCCTCCCCACTCTCTCTAAATAAGTAAACATTTTCTAAACATGGTGTTGAATATTGTTATAAGCTATACCTTTTCTTTATATGAAGAGATTATTTCAGATGTGTAGATATGTTTTTAAAGATCATTTTCGGCTACTGAATTGGTTTGGCCAATGGGAGCACCTGCAAGTGACTAGAAGACAAGAGGAGAAGGAAGCTGGGTATACATCTCCTGGTCTACTCCTGATTGGTTTGCATTGGATTGCCTATGTTTTCTCCCTAAAGGCCATAGCTTCTATGAACTGGTAGTTTTCCTCTTTTTGGGTCTTGATAACTGCTCTTTCCTTTGTCCCTTCAGGACTCAAGGAAATGATGATATCCTGCTGTTACTAGTCCCTTCAACACCATACTATCTCTACCCATATCTTTGTAAATAATCTTTTTTTTTTTTTTTTTTTAATTCTCCCCAAGTACTCAGCTGGAGTGTGCTATCTATTCCCTGATATGACCCTGGCCAACACAGTGGATGAACATACTGGAAAATGCCAGCAAGTGCTTTGTAAATTATTGATTAACATGTCTAAAATAATTAGGGAGGCAAGGGAAACTTAGAAGAAGAGTAGGCGAATTGGAAAAGATCAAAATCACCAAAGAGTGTTTGAAATTGGAATGAGGGAATGGGAAAAATGGAATGTGACAAGGTTTTGCTCATAAAGGCAAACTTAGGATTTTATTTCCTGGAAATGGAGAATTCGTGTCCTGATTATTTTCAAGGGATGGCTATGGGACTAATTGTATGAGAGGAGAAGATGTAACTCTTTTGCATTTATTAAGAACCTTATATGTGAGAAGTGATACATTAGGTATTATTGATGAGTCTTAACAGTTATACAACAAGCTATTGCCTTATAAAAGCGCATGGAAAATACTACATTAAATTTGTAAATAAAATTTATGTTATTTTTAGAAACTTTGTAAAGAAAGTCATATCACACTATACGTACCAAATACAGGATTTGATCTTTCAAATTATTGAATTGCCAGTCACAAATGACACACCTAAACATATGAAACACTGATATGTGATTCTACTGAATCATACACACAAAATCTATAGATATACATACATAACACACAAAACCTATACATTTCTCATTGAAGGGAAGTCAAATCAATACCACAATTACACAAGATTGAACTTTAAATAATGAAAAAATACTTTCTCTTCTGCTAAATATTATTGAAATTTTTTTCCTGCTTGTTTCCCAATTTGACAGTAATTATGAGGGTAGAGGAGACTAATAATTTCTAAAATTCTTTAAAGTAAGAATTGCAATCTCAGAAAAGTGGCTTTTCATTAATTATTTCAAGACTGACTTTAAATTTACATATGGGATACTATCTTGTTTCAATTTTTTAATTTTTTTGTGAAATAAAGGTCATGAATTTAATTTATATTCTGATTTCTACATAATGAAAGCATCACAGCTTTGCATTAAATAATGATAAACCATGCTGGGTAGAATGGCAATACTCAATAAATTCCCTTGATTTCTTCATCTCCCCATTAAAAAAAATACCAGCACTGAAAAAAAAAATGTTAGAAAGTGTATGTTATATTGTGTTCCACCTGACAAAGATTCTATTTCAAGAAATGAGAATAATAAAAGTTATTCCTAAGCTTTGAAAGATCTATGTAATGAATTGAACTAGTTCAGTTTCTGATTGCTTGCCAGCAGTGTAGCTGTCTCCAACATACTCCTGTATTGATCTAGTAGCCTTTGTGGCAGTGCATAAAGAATAACCATCTGTGTCAGGTACAACAGCAAGGTGCCATCCCCATTGAACTTGCTGCTACCCTGATTACAAAGAGGCTGTTTAGAGCACCTGGTGACCACGACAGGCTCTTTCTTCACTATAGAAAAGAAACTCATTTCTAAAAGTTTACTGAACTGAAACTGAGAAACTCACCAGAAATCATCAGCTGAAGAGGTGTTGGAATGAACTCCAGTGAAGACAAAGTAAGCGATCTACTGATGGAAAGCCTCTGGCTTGCAGCAGGAGGTTGCACACTAGGCTGAAGTTCCCATTTGGGCCACTCTGAAGGAGCTGTAAGCTCTTCTTTTAAATCAGATGTTAAGGTCAGATAATCTGTATAATATGTCCAATCTGGCACAAGTAGAGACATGGGAAAAGAGGCCTGTATTGGGTATGAATGAGTTCCTGAAACTTCACAAAATGAGACCTTAGAGGTTACTTCTGAAAATTCAGACACTGAGTCTATGTAAGGAGGCAGGTTGTTTTTGAGGTCACTTGAAGAGATAGATCTTGGATGATACTGTAAATTTAATACAAAATCTAAAGAACTATCACGTGTGTGAAGTTCAAACTGTTTATGAGATACTTTACTCTCTCCCACGCCCAATAAATTATCGTGATTCAGTATCTCAGTGAGGCCCATGCTTATATGATATTGACCCATTGTCAATAGTTTTAAAATGTTCTCTGACACAGAAGGATCATCAGTAGTCAGCTGTGAAGTCAAATCAGAATTCATCAAGTCTGAAGAGACAGTTTGTGAAGGGACAATGGAGAAATAAGTCTTATCCAAACATAAATTAACATCCAAATTACTTGATAGTGTAATGGATTCTTCTAAGGATGAGGATAAAATTCTTCTTTTTGTACTCTTTTTAGAAGGAAATAAAGATGACAGTTCTGTGAATGCCACTGATGGCATTTTTTCAGTAGCAGAAGACAACGGATGCCCAGAAGTGATAGTTTCAATTCCCATTAGTTCATACCAGCTGGCTGATATCTCTGAGTTCATCCAGAAGGTCTCATAAAAGTGGGACTGTTTGCTATTCAAAACTTGATATGAGAATTCATGAGAGGATTTTATTTCAGTCATAGAACATGTTGCACATGTTTGGCTTAATTCACTTAAAGAATCAGCAGCCTGTGATTTGATGTTTGTGAGTCTCTGGTTGCTAGATGCTTCAGTAATAACCTGGTATTCACTGGGAACGGAGGCTTGTGTAGTGAACTGGTGCAGAGTTGATGAGTTTAAGATGGCTACCTGTTTAGATATAATTATCTTAGCAGGAGAAAAGGGAGACATTGAGGAGCTCAGCAACCTCCAGTACTCTCTTCTTGAAATTAGGGAAACAGCTGAATATTCTTCAATAGCCTCTTGAGCCCCCCTAGAAACAATTGGAGGTGCACTTGTAGAAGCGGTTGCAAGCAGGAATCCATGGGAGAGTAATGAGTGCCTCTTTAACTTAATATCAGCCCCTGGAATGTCAGTAATTACTGAACCCACTGTGCTAGTAGGTAAGGCAATAGTCTCTTTGTTCACAAATAATAAAGATTCTGTAGGAAAAATAAAATCTGTCATGGAAGAAGAGGTGATAAATGGGGTCCTGTCTTCCATACTGGGGAAGAAGTATCCTGCTGTGGCTGCTGAAGTGTGCATAGGCATATGTGATACAGACTTTTTGCACCAGACAATTTGCACTGAGTCATGAACACCAAAATTCAGAAATTGAGAAGAGGAAACATCTGTGGAAGAAGGAAGACTGTATTTTGCTGAAAGCTCTCTAGTGGAAATCAGTTCTTTGAATAAATAGCTTTCAAAAGATATGCCAATACTTAATGCTGCCAAACTAGTAGTTGGGAGAGCATCATGCTTGATAATGTCTGTCTGTTTTGAACCTTCAAAGAGGAAAAAGAAACAAAAAAAGAATAAGAAAACTGAATTAAAAATGAACAACTTGGGCCCTAGACTGCATCTTCTGCAAATTGTACTGCCTCCTCATACCCATTATGTGCAGACAAATGCCTCTGTAAGTCATTTTTCTAATGGAAGTGTATGAGTAAGTTTAGTCATTTCACAAACTGCATAAATGCAAAGGCTCTCATTATTCACACTCCACTGAGGGTCAAAGTTGACCAAATTGTGTTACATAATCTTGAGAAAGAAGAACAAAGCTGGAGGTATCTTGTGCCCTAATTTCAAACTATACTACAGGGCTATAGTAATCAAAACAGTATGGTTATGGCATGAAAACAGACTCATTGATCAACAGAATAGAGCTCAGAAATAAGCCCACTTATATGCAGTCAATTAATCTCTGCCAAAGGAGGCAAAAATATACAATAGGGAAAAGGTAGGCTATAAAATAAATAAAAGGTGCTGGGAAAACTGGACAGCTACATGCAAGAAATGAACTGGACTGCTACTTTACACCATATAATAAATTCAAAAGGGCTAAAGAATTAAATGTAAGCCTCAAAACCATAAAACTAGAAGAAATAATAGGCAGTAAGCTTTTTGATATCAGTGTTAGCAATACTATTTTGGACCAGACTCCTTAGGTAAGGTCAAGAAAAATTAAAATAAACAAATGGGACGACATCAAACTAAAAAGCCTTTGCACAGCAAGGAAACCATCAATAGAACAAAAAAAAAGTAACCTACTCAATGGGAGAAGATATTTACAAATCACACATCTGATAATGGTTAATACCCAAAATATATAGGGAATTTCCCAACTTAACATCAAGAGAAGAAGCAATCTGATTTTAAAATGGGAAGGGGCACCTGAGTGGCTCAGTTAGTTAACTTTTGAATTTGACTCAGGACATGATCTCACTGTTTGTGAGTTCCAGCCCTGCATCAGAGAGCTTGGGATTCTCTCCATCTCTGCCCCTCCCTTGACTGCTTGCTCTCTCTCTCTCTCAAAATAAATAAATAAACTTTAAAAATGTACAGAGGACTTGAATAGACATTTTTATAAATAAGACATATGAATGGCCAGCTGGCACATGAAAAAATACTCGACATCATTTATCATCACATAAACGCAAATCAAAACCACAATGATATATCACCTTAATTATGTCAGATTGGCTATTATCAAAAAAAGGCAATAAATAACAAGTGTTGGTGAAGATGTGTAGAAAAGGAAACTTTGTACACTGTGGGTGAGAATTGAAATTGGTACAGCCACTGTGGAAAACAGTATGGAATTTCCTTAAAAAATTAAAAATTAGAAATACCATATAATCCAGCAATTCCACTTCTGGATATTTATCTGGAAAAAAATGAAAACACCAGCTCAAAGATATATACATGCTTCTATGTTCACTGAAGCATTATACGCAATGTCCAAGATATGGATGCAATCTATATGTCCGTTGACAGATTAACGGATAAAGAAGATATGATATATATAAACAATAGAATATTACTCAGCCATAAAAAAGAATGAAATCTCACCACTTGTGACAACATGGAAGAACCCAGATGATATTATGCTCAGTGAAATATGCCAGAGAAAGACAAATGCTATATGATTTTATTTACATGTGGAATCTAAAAATAAATGAGCAAACAAAACAAAAACATAATCATAGTTACAGAGAATAAACTTGTCTAGCAGAGGAGGGACAGATGAGTGGGGTGGTCAAAATAGATAAAGGGGATTAAGAAGTACAAACTTCCAGTTAGAAAATGCATAAGTCATGGAACTGTAATATAGAGCATCAGGATATAAATAATATTGTAGCAACTATGTATGGAAGCATATGGCAACCAGATTTGTCATGGAGATCATTTAATAATGTATAGAAATATAAAATCACTATGATGTACACCTGAAAATAATAGAACATTGTATATAAATTATATTTCAATTATAAAGAAAAACAATATATATGTGATTTATTTTATATTAAATTTTATATTTATTCTATAAACATTTTTACTCATTTAACATATTTATCTCATATATTTTATTTACACATATAAGCAGAGAGTATTCACAATGGGAAAAGAAAGAATTGACATATTCCAAACCAAATGGCTCCTTTGAATAATATAACATGAAAAATTACAGCTCTGTCACTGATAGACTCAATGAATATATAACATATTGTTTTTAAAATATTAGAAATATTATTTTACTTTATAAATAGGCATAGTATGCTTTATATTTTATAACATTGTATTTCAACTTAAGTCTTTAAGAGAACAGAAATTAAGAAGAAAAAAATAGGGCAGACTACCTTTCTGTTTATAATATCCAATAGCCCTTAAAAATATTTTTCCTAAACAAAGAATACCTTGTAAGGGGTATAATTCTCATTCTTATTATCCTGAGTGACACTGATTGTAAAAAGATTTAATATGGAATTTAGCTTATACTAAATATTATATTATGTATATAAATATTATAAATATATGGCATCATTTGATTTAGTAAATTAAATAAGACATATTGAAACATACTCTAGATGTCAAATACTCTAAAATGGGAAACATGCAGATTAAAAAACTCCAATAAATTAATAGGAATATAAATTTATATATAATGATTCAGGGAACATTAAATGAAGATAGAATAAAGTAAGTAGTACATGGTCTTTTTAAATAAGTTTTACGGATAGTTAAAATAGCTAGGACTGGAATCCAGTTATCTACCAAAATTTACATATCATAATAAAGATGTTAATGAACACTTTTACACTATTTCAGAAAGAGTATTTATTAGCAAAGAACATCAATATTCTTAAACCAAAACTTAAAATTGAAATGAACAATTCTAAAATAATTTTATATCCCTAAAAATCATGGATCTCAGAAAAATAAAGACTTGAAATAAGTCAGAAAATATGTTTCAATACACAACTTGATCAAATTCAGTCTTTTACGTATCTTATCCTCATCTACTTACCTGGATCAGCTGGGTAACTAGTCATTATGGTCCACAGTCTTGTAGCTCTTGGTGATGGAAAGCTACTGATTGAAGTGTCAGAAGCAGGTACTGTATATGTTCGTGTGGAAATGGCATCCATTCTTTGATGGACAGGAGGTAAACAGGTAATTCTGCTTATTTCAGCACCACAAAAAAGCCCAGTGGAGCAGATCTGCAAACAATAATTATAATAACTAAGTTCACAGTTTCTTTGTCCCTGAGAGAGAACTTTTAAAGTTAGTTTTGAGGCATTTTCTAGTCCTATTCGATAGCTCAAATAATTGCCTTATTTTGCTAGAAAATAAAGTCTCCATGGTAAATTTTATCTGTATTTCAAAACTAATCTTTCAAATTTTGAATGTGAAAATTTATTTATTCTTAATTTCTTTACTTTTAGCCAAAATACCATTTCACATTTCCTTTGAGGATATTTTTTTCCAGTGAAGAATTTTTGCTGTGTCGTAGTCACTATGGATCTAAAAGCTTTGTTACAAATTATAAACTCTTCTGCTCTAAGTGTCGTATTTAGTTGGAAGCTAATGCAAAATGCAGTATATGCAGCAGATAATTTGAAAACATTTTCTTGTGATGTTTGAACCATTTTAATTTGTACTGGCTTACAGAGCAATGATTCTTATATGATTTAGTTTAACGTGAATAGCCTATTTCTGCCATATACTTGTAAGATTATTTCTGCATAAAGAAATTGTTTTTAGCTTATAGTGAAGAGAATTATGATACATACATAAATAAGTACAAATGTATCAGGGGATTCTCCTTTAAATGTAGAATTAAAACTTTGTTATAGTATTTGTGGATTTTGAACTTTAAGAAAATACTATTCACATATTATTTAAAAATAGTAACGCATGCCTATTTTCTAACACTACAGACATATTCAATAGGTATCCTTACTTCACTGTGCTAGTATTTGTCCAAGATTGTATCTAATTTGCACAAAATGTAAATTTTACTTTAGCTATCCTTTTGTCTTCTGTTTTAGAGTTATAAATTCTGTGTTCACTTTCAACTCACACCTGAAAGTTTTTATAAGGTCAGGTTATATAACTGCTTTAAAAAATCTAACATGTAGAAAATGGTAAAAAGTGAAGCTGGAAGTGATAGAAGAAACAGAAAGAAAAAATATGTTTTATGATTCCACATATTAAGGACTAAGAGATTTGTCTTTTTCTCCACTCAAGAGTAAGCAGCAAGCCTTGGAAAGAATTCAGATTGTTGAAAATATACACAGAGGTAGGATAGGGATCAGAATGCCAATATACTAGATGATGGTGAAAATGTAGCTATTATACAGCTCAAAAATGTTTGCATGATCAATATTTTCCTCCTAAATTATAATCTGAAGCCATTATAAACTATCTTGAGTAATCACAACCTCAGGGTTAAGGGATCCTCAAAGTCCCATGATCAACAAGTTTTCCCCATGTCACCATTGCTGCACAGGAATCATAGATTTCCTTGAGGTACATTAGATCAGAACATGCAAAACAAAGTGATTCAAATACTGACATATGGCTAAGATATTTCTGTAAGAATGATCTGGAATACTTGATATTCACAGACTAAACTATCTTTAGACAACTTTACATTGGCACTACTAGCATTTTTCTCTATGGTTCTGATATGTTCTTCAATATTGTTCACCATTATATTACTGGATATGTTAACACATCCATTCTTCCTTATGATACCAGGAAGTCATATGTTCTCTTTCCTATGTTGTATTTCTAGGCTCACATCCATCATGTGCTCTTCTAAGAGTTTAAGTCTCAAAGGTGAATTTATTTTCCTAATTTTGAGCTTGATAAGAAACATCTCGTTATATTCCCAAGTGCTAGCAATTAAAATCATAAAGCCTTTTTAAAAATTAAATGTTCTTCCAAATAGATTTCAATATTTTAATTGCTTGAACCCTCTCTTCTCCTCCTCCTCCTACAAACACACACACACACACAATTTATCCTAGAGAAACTTCTATATTTTCCTTAAAGTCCAAAACTGCATGGCAAAGCTTCCTACATGTTAACTAAATCTATTTCTTCTTCCTCTTGGACTACATGTTTTACTTACTCTCATGTTTATGTGAGACCATGTTATTTACTTCTAATCAATGAAATGTGAACGGTCATGAAATAAGTCACTTTCAGACTGGTCTACAAAGTCGGCTATGTATGAACCTGCAGGCTCTTCTTCCATGTGGTGACTTCAGAAAACACATGTAAATGATATAGGAGGCACAAAAAGGAAGTATCCCAGATCCACAGATCTTTCTTTGAAGGAGAATATCTGAAGTCAGAAACACTCACATGGACTTCATATTAATGAAAAATAAGTTTGTATTGTTCTAGGAAAAATTTAGAAGTTATCATTGCAGATAAGATCTTTTGAATCAGAGCTTTACAAGAATATGGCCATTCACTTTCCATGGTCATCTACTTTCCATGGTCACTGTGTAGCCTTCTGTGTCTTCACTCAACAAATATATCATGATCAATTACTAAATGTCAGTGATTGTTGAAAGTGATTGGAATAAAATAATTAACAATATAGGCAAAGTTTGTCTCATTACATAGCTTATCTTTTAGTAAAGGAATCAGAATTAATAACAATTAGTAATAAGTGGCTTAAAGACAAAATTTTGCAAGATAAATAATAAGGAACAAAAAGGAGGACTCTTTTACAGGGAGTGACCAGGGATGGCTTTTCTGATCAGAGATCTGAATGTGAATTTCTGAGGAAAAGAGCATTCAGAGCAAAGAGAATAGTGGCACAATGATCCTGAGGGAGGAACATGCTTTGTATGTCTGAAAAACAGCAAGATGGGGGTTGTGAATAAAGAGATGACTGGAAGACCCTCAGTGGATGGAAGTGAGGTCACAGACATAGGCAGGAATGAGATCATATAAGATAATTTGTTGTTTAATTTGAAATTAATTCTGAGAGCAATGGGAAACCATTGGAATACTTAATATTAAAGAAAAAAAGACACAGTTTGATTTGTACTATGGAAAGATTAAGTTAATCTTATGTAGATAGTAGACTCTTAAGGGAGTTTGGAGTAGAGGAAGGAACGGAAGCTGGAATGCCTGTTGGAAGTCAGTGGCAGTCTCAGCAAGAGATAAAATATATTGGCCTGAGTACCAGTGGTGGATATTGTGACTAGAGGTTATTTTCAGGATATATTTGGAAGACTGATCCTATGAAGTTTTTATTTTATGTTTTTGGAGTAAACTATATATATATATATAATCAATGATTCTTAGTTTTTGTGTCTATCAGTGATGTGAGTAGTGGTGCCACTTACTAATTTGAAGAACACTGGTGAAGACCAGTTAAGAATCAGAGGTAGATCAAGATTTTTAAAAAATACTTAAGTGTTTATTTATTTACTTATTTTGAGTGAGAAAGAGTGCATGAACTAGCACAAGCACTAGTGGGGGAGGGACAGAAAAAGAGGGAGAGAGAATACCAAGCAGCCTCCATGCTGTCAGTGCCCACACACAAGGAAATAATGACCTGAGATTAAATTAAGAGTCAGATGCTCAAATGACTGAGCCACCCAGGTGCCTTTAAAGTACTTTAAAGTACTTTAAACTTGATAAGCTTATTAGCTATCCAGATATTGGTGTAGAATAAGAAATTCAAACTGAGTCTCTCCTGAGACAGAATTACTCTTAAAATCATTTCAACTAAGTAAAAAAGTATGATTATGGGATAACTAGTGTTATCCTATAGTCCTTCTAATTCTCTAGTCATAGAGCTAAAAAATGGCGGAGCCTAGATTCATATGTAGGCACTGAGACACCAGAATACACACACATCATCACTGTGCTATATGTTTTACATCTTATTACATCTTCAACATTTGTTATGAACAGTTTTATCCTATAGTTTATTATTTTAGATAACAAAATTAAAACATTCTTCCACTCTAACAGCCTAATGAACATCACTATCAATTAAATTTAATGAACACTAACAATGTGTTAAGATCTGGGCAAAACATTTTTTCTATTGACAGTAACATTTGAAGATGTAATGTACTTCAACTTTATTTTCTACTTGAGGTCATGAGTATGTAATATAGCAAAAAAAAAAAATACAGTTGTCACAATCAGTTTCATATCAATCTAATTCTGTGCTTAGATCTACTTTCGTCTTAGAATTCGTAGTTTGCTTCTTAAAGTTTACTAAAATCACAGACAGCTTGAATTTTTCCAACACTATAAAAATACACAGTATTAATTTCTTAATTTTTTGTAAAGTTTGAGAGAGAGAGAGAGAGAGAGAGAGAGACAGAAAGTGTGTGTGTGCACGTGCATATGCATTGCAGGCATGAGAGGGGCAGAGAGAGAGAGAGAGAGAGAGAGAGAGAGAGAGAACCCAGGGAAGCTCTGTGCCGTCATGGCCTAGCAGCAAGTGGGGCTTGATTTCACTTAATCATGAGACCATGACCTGAGCAGAAATCAAAAGTTGGACACTCAACAGACTGAACCACTCACAAGCCCCTATTTTATTGTTTATATAGCAAACTGTCAACCTAATTTGTGGTGGCCAGGGCAAATGAAAATATAGATCCCCTTGATAATAACTGGTTAATTATTAAATCAGCAACAGCAGAATATTAGAGCAATTGTGTTTGTGTGTGTGTGTGTGTGTGTGTGTGTGTGTGTGTAGGGGGGGGTATCTTATAATGGCACGGTCTTATGCAACAAACAAGTCACATACCCATGACTTATATATACTAATTTTTTCAAGTTATATAATTGTGGATTTACCTACCTGTAGCTTAACACTCTGAAAATCTGCTCAGGGTGATATATGCCTTCTTAAATTGAAATATCTTTTTGATAATTTTGATAATTGGAAGAAACAGTTCAGATGATTGTTATGCTAAATTCATGACATGGTGTTCTTGTAGAATTATAAAGGAAACATCAGGCAGAACATCCAATATAAAACCACCAAGTAAATCTGTTTCTAAGTAGTATAAGCTTAGTTACTTCATCAATTACAGTCCTAACAAGCAATAAACTTTTCCCTGCTTCATATAAAGTGAAACATTCGATTTATGCTAATTGGAACTATCATGTTTCATTAGGAAAGGTTCACTAAACTGAAGTTCTCTTTCAATAATTTCTGCTTTCTAGCAA